GTGCATTTTCGAGTTCGGGGATTCGAGTCATTTGTGGTATTTGCATGAGCGCAGCGTTCCGCCTCCTCAACAGCCCCCAAAACAAATCCAATCCCCCGTCCGACACATGGTAGGAAAATTCAAGCCCCAAATGTGTCAACATAATTGAATTCCCATTTTAACTCATTGCGTTTTGGATTGTAGGCCCAGAGCGCGCTGTATTAGTGATTTTCCAATGCACGAATCCCTTAATTGTATGATTCACGTGTTGACAGATATTTTCCCAATGAATTTTCCAAACATCACATGCCCTCCTGCCTCAAAAAGGGCCACGGCTGCCCCGCTTGAGATTGCGGGGCTGTGTGAATTCAAGTGGTACATTTGAGTGGTTAATTGTGATGAAGTGAGTGAGAAAGTGGGCTGCGAAATGCAAGAGAAAATTGTGAATCGTGAGAGGAAGTGGAATTTTCCATTTGACTAACCTTTCAACTCTTTCGCCGAGATTTTTCAAAGGGAGAGGGAGAGAGAGAAAATTAATAGAGTGAAAAGATCGTAAGGAAATCCATACTAGAGAGAATTTTACACAGAGATCCTTTTGGAAATTAAATTTTCCCACCATAATTTCACCCCCAAATTGACAGGGGGAAAAAATATTTGTGGATATTGTGGTGAAATGTGTCGGAAATTGCAGTTGTGGTGTCAGTTTGCTGAAGATTGAAACTCAACATTGAGCACTTGATTAGAATATCTAACCAGGGAGAGTTTCCATGTCACAATCAGACAATTAATTTTCCACCTAAACGGCCCATCACGTGAGACACTGGAGAAAATTTCAATTGCAATCTCCGATGGAATGCTCAAAATTACCTGTCACACACTCTCCAGGATAACTAAATCGCAGGAATAACCATCAATTGACGTAGCACTGACGTTTTCCGGGCTGTGGAAGTTCAAAATTATTGAATTATAGAAGGGACGGGAAATTCAGGCGGTTACTTAAAAAGCTCTCACGTTATATGGACATAATCTCTGAACTTGAATGCGAAGAGTCTGAAAGCTGCCGGGAAGCATAAAATAAAATAGGTATTAAGTAGAAATTTCCTCGGAAATGACTGTAAGATCGAATTTGTGGATGGCAAGAGGAAGCATCCAGAGTCATATTTATGGTAAAATGTTTAATATTTTCCCTGGGTTTTCCTCTTTGCGGGGTGTCTGTGTGTGTGTGTGTGTGTGTGTGTTGGAATTTGACTAAACTGTGTGAGTCATGAAGTCGTCTAATTAACATAATTTTCCACTTAAGGCAAATGATGCAAAAAATGCTTCCGCACGGAGAAATAATATTCTCGCTTGTAGCAACTGGAGAAGGAGCAATGAAGATGATCCGAGGGGTTGGAAGAGGGACAAGGTTAGGAGCGAGAGAGGAAGCAAAAAAAGAGGCTCGCGGATGAGGAAGATGGAAATTAAATTGCGATTATGTGCGCATGAAATTACCGACAAGGAGTAAATGGCTTGAAAATCCTCGGCAAGTTCTCATTTTTTTCATGCTCCACAGTCTCATGCAATTATGGGATATAACAATTTTTGGAATTGGTCCACATTGAAGACAAAAGTGGCCAAGATTCTCGTGAATCGTACCGATTATTTGTCCCTTCATGCCTTCGTTTCTTCACAGTAACTACTCTCCTATTGTATAGTTTCTGAAGAACACACTGTGTGTCTTGCAATTGAGCCAAGCCAAGAAATCTATTTGAGAGAAACCCCAAATTCCCTTGTTTCCCTAAAAAATATCGAACGCAATTCATGAATAAAGTGGATTATAGAACAGCAATTATCGTTACTCCAACACGAAGGATAATTGCTTCGAGAACTTCTCGATATCCGGAATCATTCTTCTGATTTGTCACATTCAGACTTAAGCTCTGAAAGCTCTGCTAGATTTGATGCGCTTGTGGATATTGGAGTCCTTTCGGGACTCCTTTGCAGTGGCGAAGGGATAATTCTGACCAGTCACGATGCTCAATGGGATGAGGAGATGGCATGACAAATGAATGGCAAAGTGCCATTGAATGTGGGCGAAGCAGGGGGAGAGAACATCAAAAAGTCATTTAGGGTGCCACTTTAATATGCTTCACATATCATGTGAATGCCGTCGAGGAGGCCGCAGAGGAGATAGTTGAGGGGTTGTGGAAAAATCCACAATTGGAGGGAAATTTCTCAAGACCTTTCAAGCCTCTTTGGTCAATCACCACACAGGCCAAAGTGGCCCGATGCTATTGAGAAAGTCAAGTCACACGTGAAGACTGGCGCGCCCCTCAAAGGAGAAGTCCTAAGAAGAGAGTCTTCAACCCTTACGGGTGCTATTTTGATTTTTATTCTCTATATGTGGGAAAATCAACTACCGGTAAGAGTTTGAGGCATCATTATGATGTTGCTGGTGGAATATTTTCCTGATTTTCCACTCTACGGTTAGTGGAAGAGGTGGTGATAAAAATCCCCGCATCGGTAATTGAAAATCAATATTAATAGGCTATCTGTGAAAATTCATCATGAGCTTCACTCCACACCACTCATACTCTTGCGCGACTGGTGCGGGAAAATTAAAATGCAGCAAATTCCCTAAAGAGTATATCTTGGCATAGTGGAAAGTATTTTTCAGTGTGCGCGCGGGAAAAGTGCATTCGAGTGTGTGGGAGATGGGGGGGGAAAAGTAATAAAGCCACACGACGGGGGTGATTTGCCGTTAGAGGGGGTTTAGGGTGAATTCCAGCCCGAAGAAAGAGAGCGAGAGCATCTTCCGATATTGGCGTCATCATCATCTTTTTCACCACCTCAGACTCTATCCTTCATGCTACATTCCAATTTATCTTATGCTATCGATACCCCGTACTTACTCCTCCTGTGGCGGCTGTCGGGTGGCGGAAGATCCACCCCTTTCGCCGCGAGGGATGCAGTCCTCGTGAAATTGGTAGCTGTGCAGCTTTGTGTATAGCGCCAGAGTCTCAATTTTGCAGCCATAGAGACAACAAGGCGCTCTTTTGCTGCACCTTAAGGACAATACAAAGACGACGACATTCTTTTCGCTATTGTGATCCGGACTGACTGTGAAAAGGCCAGGATGAAATTTCACGTCAATGCTATTGCCATTGATTGCTCATGTTTCAATAGGTAGTTGACATCGTAGCTGTGTCTTTTCTGTCCAGTGGAATTTTAATAGCAATATCCACTGTGAATTGAATAGATTGATTTCTCTCTAAGCACTCTAATTCATTCTCAATCTTCCTCGTGTATCTACTCGTGTTGCATCGCAATAATTAATCTTCACGCGGCACTTTGGTTGGCAAAACTACCCCCAAAAGCTTCCCATATAAGCTCACAACCTTCGTTAGATTAAAATTGCATCTCGCGCACATTTTCATATATGAAAATAATTACTCGATGGCGGCAGCACTTTGGTGTGAGTCGATTATATTCCCAGATTATCACATATTACAGTGTCTCTCGCACCCGGAAAATTCACCAATGAATTCCACCCTTGGCGGGAAATGGTTGCGGTGGAGTTTTCTCTGGGTGCCTCAGCTGCATGGCGAGCATATTAGTTTGTTTATTATGATTCGATGCAAACGAGAACAAATTGCATTTAACTTTGTTCTGTCTGGTGTTTTCGATGTGGTGAAGCGCTCTTTCAATCCCTCGAGGCTGCATTTTGTTCAACTCTTCGGATGAGATGTCTTTTTTGGTTCTCTCGCATATATTTCACAACTATTCTGGACATGATTTGAAGTTTCTCATTGTCAAATGGTATGGAATTTTGCATAGCATATCAGTGGCTTTAAAGGACTGATCAATTTGCCCCTCCTTCTCTATCTGCGTAATTGCATTTACTGTTCCCACATGGAAAATCTGACTGTTTATCAATTCAATTTGCTTTTCCCTGGTGGAATATTGTTTGCCATTTTCGGGTAAGTTTTTGCTCATTGGACTAGAAAATGCAAATAAATTGCTGGGCCGCGCAAAGCCAAAAATGGGAATTTTTAATACACTCTCTTGAGCTTCAGGGGAAAAATCTGCAATTTTTTTTTCATTCCTCTTGCGCATCAATTTCAATGCATGATTATATTCATAAATTCGTTATGTGAAATCGTGTTAACCAATTACGATATCGACGCATAATGGATGGATGATTTGGTTGATGTGCGATGAAACATGAGATTTAGCAATCGTACGTCTGTCATCGGCAATTTCATTGTGCATTTCATGCACATTCTCTTCTATCTTCTTACATATTATCGCTTAAGAGGATTGTGGGGTTTTTTTTTGAAGATTTGTCAGAATGCCTGCAAGTATTCGAGTGAGTCATTCAATCAATAAATTGAATTTTTTGCCCACAAAGCAATTTTAAAGCGATGCTATTTATAATTTTGCTTATACATTTGTCTCATAAACACTCCCTTTCGTCGACTTTCGGGACGACTGAGCAGCATTTGCGGCGAGGGTTGCTTCTTACAGTGGGTGTTTAGGGTCCGAAATTCCTAACATTTAAGAGTGAAACATCCACTCAATCATTGTAATGCGTTTTTTCCTCGCCATCCTCTCACTTAGCATTCCACGAAGCCATGGCGCTGTGACATAAATAAAATTGTGTGTCTCACCATTGGAGGGGTTGAATGGAAATGTTCTTGTGTGCAAATTTCCATAAATTGATGGCAATTTATATTAATTTACTCTTAATCCATCTGCGGGGTGTTTTCTGCGAGGGCTCTTGAGGGTGGGCGCGCTAAATGATCGCGCGCGAGCGCCGCCGTCGCCGCCCCAAGAGGGGGCGGCTCTGTGGGGCGATGGCGGCGGCAGGCGGAGAAGAGAGAGGCCCAGGGAAAATTGATGTGGAGAATGTGATGAGATGAAAGAGACTTTTTGTGGGGCCGCACGAGGGGTGAGAGGACAGCCAGAAAGTGTCTCGTTGAGGCGTCAAGTCACGTTCTGAATTTTTATCCCTTTTATTTCTCTTCACATTTCTCCAAACCATTCCACGTCGTCGTTTTTTTTTTCTCTTCCTTCAAGCTTCACCCCCTCATTCTCACGATGCCTTCGCGCCGTATTGGAATTCCAATAAAATTTCCTTCTATTGACTTTCCACTCTCTCTCTCTCTCGCTCGCTCTCGACTCCATCTCAGATATTCAAGCCACACCATTCGATTCCACACACCAATCCACCCTCTGGTCCTCTGGCCCCACAGTGAGAGAGTGTCTTGTATGCAAAAATATTTACAGACATTTTTCTCCATTGATTCCATTGAGTTGCACACAATCGGCCATTGCATGCTCGTGAGCTTTGTAAGCTCGCGAGAAAACTCTCCCCCATCCAATAGTGCGGGTTGAATTGTGCAAATATTTTCTCTTTCGACACTGTTTTGCCACCCTTTCGTGCTCCTCACACACCGCCCAACATGAAGCTCAGGGCAGGCGACTAACAAATGACAGAGTTATTCCATCGCTGAATATTTCCACTGTCATCAGCATCTATCAGCTGAAGCGATAAAGTGATACTCCATCTCGCATTGACAGTGCTGCCGTAGAGGGAAAAAAATCAATATAGAGAGCTTTCTCCTCAGATAAAAAGCACGAAGAAGTCAATTTAGCTAGGGGTGTCGGCACATCCGGAGGTGTGAGGGGTGCGAAATGAATTTATTCAACTGTCACGATCGCGATTATTGCAATGAAGTTGAAGTTGAGTGTGTAAATTTGCAATATATCTCACTCTCTCCCTCTCTCTCTCCTTCGGGAAAAATTGAAAAGCTAACTCATTTCCTCATTGAGACCTTCCCCAGAGCTTTTTCACCAGATATTATGCGAGGACTCTGCAATGTGATGTGTAATCACATAGAAATCTGAACTGAGAAATGAACTGTGTGCTCTGAAATTGATGGTAAAAGCGCTGTATTAGTCTGCAATTTCCTTTATGTCATGAGAGAAATCAGGGTATTAGAATCATAGAATATTATTGAAGTTGTTTTGAAGGGTCGGAAGAGATGTTTTGTAACCGCAAACAGAGTTTCTCGACGACAAATACACACACATAAAATTATTAGGATGCCTCAACACTTCGTGACAATGATGCAAAAATATTATGAATAGCATTTGAAAGGATTGGCCTAATCCCACTGTTAGTGGCCTTGTTTCGTGTTGATCTGAAGATTGACAATGAACCGGAAAAAAAACATATAATTCCACTATGAAATGGCCTGAAATGCGCTATATTGGCATATTTACAATATCGCCTTCCAAATCGGCTCGATTTCCAATTAATCACTACACATCGAAATCGATAAATTGGTGATTTTCATCCGCCGAACAATGATTGGGGCTCTGGCAAATTGTTGGAGAAATCTGTCACAGGATATGACTGGTGAAATTGCAACAGAACTCTGACGCGTGTCGAAGTTGTCGCGGCGCATGGAGATGAACATATTTGCGGGTCGTGATGCAGTATACACCCTCGGTTGTATAGTTCTCATTTTGGCGGAAACTATTCACCAATTATTGCCAATTGTTTTCACATATTTTATCCTTCATGCGGAAGGATGAGCGAGAGCTTTTCCCTGTGTGACAAATTAATCGCGCGCGCGCGCCCGTAGATGGTGTGATGGTGGTGGTGGGTTGAATCCTTTGGCGATGGGGGTGCAATTTTCCGAAATGGTTGCAACATAAAATTGCAAAGTGCGCGATGGTGAGAGGGAGAAATTTCCATACACGTTTTTACATATCACTTTATGAGAGAAAATGCATATAAAAATATTCAATTGGAGGGTGGTAGTACGCGGTTGGGGTGGAAATAATTTTGGGCCAAAGGAGGAAGAATGTCTCCTTGAGAGGAATTCATGTGGTTGTGAAAGGCAGCCAGGGAAAATATCAAATTTCGATGAGTCATAAAAATTCAATATTGTCCTTTTGGCTGTGCCGCAAAAGGAGAAGAGGGGAGGAATGAGTCCAATCCTCCGTTGAATGCGTGGTGGCAGTGCCACTGGGGGTTGCGGGGGAGGGTGAGATAAAGAAAAGCGATGAAAACAGAGGCACTCTGTGAAAGACTACAAAACATTCATAGTTGAATGTATGACGGAAAAAATAATACTATAAACTATAAAAGGAAATATTGCATCCCCAGAGCGTCAGAGGGTTGTTTTCTTTTTTTTCTTTTAGGCTAAGGGAAAAAATTGCCTCCAACTTTTAGTGAATTCCCTCCCACGCCTCTTGGCTTTTTATGGGGTTGTGGAAAGTTTTTCCTTCGTGTGGCAAAACACTAAAATACTTTTAGAGCGACCCTTTGCCATATATGCGCTAAATATTTATCCCTCATCCCTTCGGCGACATGTGATCCAATGGGAAAATATTCCCACCTCACGTGTGCAGTTTTTCCTTTCTTCATCTTCTCTCAGAGATTCGATGAAAAGGTGCTTTATTTTGATTTTTCCCCAAAAAAAACGCTTTGATGAATTTTTGCCTCCGGGCAAAAATGGTCACATTGAATGGATTAAATGACAAGGGATGTATTCTCCATGGCCTCCACTCTTTCTCGTCTTTTATTGGAATTTTTTCCTCATTGAATGATCCAAGAAAAGTTTCTTTTTCCTTTCCCATTTTTATCCAACTTTTTTTTCTTCTACCCTTCCCCACCTCAGGACAGTTGACTCCTTTTCTGTCGTCCCCACACAAAAGGGGCGGCCTTTCCACCCACGCCACATACACTCTTCATATTCCACGGGTGAAAGAAAATCTGTCCGTGATTGCAGAATGAGATAACATCCATTGTGGAGCTGCTGCACTGCGTCCATGGCGCAAAAACAACCTCCCCACGAACGGGTGGGGGTGGGGGTGTGGATGGATAAAAAGGGGAGAATTCTACGGAGGTAATTTGTCAAATGATCCAAAGTTGCACATATTGGGTGAGCACAGCTGTACTCCAACTATCAAAATATATCACTCAACTTGCGCGCATCAGCACGGAATTTTATTTTAGCGCCCCAGCACAACACTTTGTGGCATTTTACAGCGCGCACACGAAGAGGCACTTTAATCCCCGAATGGGAATGGCTTGGATTTATCGTGGAGGGCATGAAAAGTTGAGTTCTAAAAATTGAAAATATACTCGAGTTTTATAGTCACAACTGGAGTGCATGACATAATATGAATTGAAATTGAGAGAAAAGCTTGAGAGGCCAATATTTTGAGAGATAAGAGAATGCATTGCATTCATCCAGGGCTTAATTTTGGATTTTGTGTGATGTTTTTATGCTGAATTGATGCATAAATTATCCACTTTTAATTGATCCTACATTATTAATTATAAACACACACAATTAATCCTCTAATGAGGAGCTTTCCGGATACTAAATAATTTTTAAATCTCCTTCACGTGACGATGTGGCAGTGTGAGAAGTACGAAATTTCCCCAATTTTCCTCAACATGGCAGAGGAAGATATTTTTACGAGTGCCAATGAATAAATCGAGTATTGCTATAAATTTGTCTTTCCACCCAATTTGTAATACATCGTGACGGCAAATGCGGAAGAATATATTAAAGTGTCGTGCTTCTCTTGGCGAGATGATTGAGAGGGAGGCCAAAATAGCCTCCCATTGAATATTTTATTTGCGTGAAATATTGAAGAGCGAAGAAATATGGCCATAAAAGGTCACGATGGGTGAACATTAACTCGAGATGCAAGGATCCGAATCGTCAGTGTCATTCAAATTTGTCGGTTTCACTCTCACTCTCCACTTGCTCTGTATCCTTTTTTTAGGGCTCGAGTGGTGTGAGATAATAAAAATGTTGATATTTTGCGGGGTTACTTTATTGGATGGAATGCTGTGTAGAGTTCTCTTAGGGGTGCTTTCTGTCGTTTCAATTGACGGTAGTATTCTTTTAATTGTGCACGATCTCTGGGAGCTTTGAAGCTCTCTTCATTTGGCATATTCAAAAGATTTCTTTTTATAGACTCAGAGGGTTGCGATTGTGGGTATAAATTCTGTGGGGATGAAGTGGGGGTGGCACTTGGAGGAGTGGATAGGAATCAAAGTGATTTTTCTCTGTATTCTACAAAAAAAATCTTTTTCTTCTCTTTCCAGGTAAGCACAGTGAGAGGGAGAAGCGCATGAGGGGTGCGAGAGGGTAGTTTGGCCGAGAACTAGGCAGATTCATTTCATCCCCTCGTGCAAAATCCCGGAGGGTGGCAGAGACTCACTCTCATCTGTGTCGAAATTTTGGCTGCGGAGGGTGAAAACATCCACTTTATCACTAATATATCTGAATTATGACTCTGGGTATTTTCCTTCTTTTCTCTCTCTGAGGTAAGTTAAATCTGCCATGGAGATATAAAGAAAATTTTCCTCCGTGGCAAAGGAAATCTCAATGTATGGTTGAGGGGCTTAATGTATTCACCCCCTCGCGTATCCAACGAGGCCCAAAAACACATAAAATGTCTAAGTGTATTGCGGGGGATGTTGGAATTTTCTGTCGGTGGTGGGTATAATTTTCTCTGCGTGATGTCTTGTACCGAGAGATTCCGCCCAACTCAGACTTCCGTCTCGGCCAGAGGAGAAAAAAGTGTATATACACACACCCTCGTAGTACCTTCAGGGGTGCTCTTAATCGAAATATATTGATGCAATAAAAATTGTAGGCTCCTCGTGGAGATCTTGCTTCAGCATCACTCACTCCCTCTCTCTTTCCCTCACACTGTCCAATCGCGAGGGACGGTGAGATCTAATATCATGTTTAATGTATCGCATGAGATATTCCATACACAATAGAGAGACAAGACCCAGAGTAAAACGCCACGAGATTAAATTTCATTCTGAATTACACTATGATTTTATTAGGTATGTTTTTGGGACAGATTATGGCTTCGGGGTGTATAATTTCCTGATCTTCTACGTTAACTTTGAGTCCGCGTATCTCACGAACGCTTTGTTCGATTGCTTTCAAATTTGAAAATGTGGTTTAAGAGGCTAAAAACTATCTTTTGAGTGTGGGTT